TAACTTTTAAAGCTATGAAGTAGGAAGTAGTGGAAATAGAATTTTTTTTGTTTGTTTCATATATTTTTAGAAGTAATGAGGAAGTAGTGGAAATAGAATTTTTTTTGTTTGTTTCATATATTTTTAGAAGTAATGGAAGTAGAACTTTTTCCTCTTCATTTACTTTTTTTTTGTTTGTTTCATATATTTTTAGAAGTAATGGAAGTAGAACTTTTTCCTCTTCATTTACTTTTTTTTGTTTGGATAACATTTGGAAATATAATTAGGAAGTAATTTTATCAATGAAAAAGTTGTTAGAAGTAACTAATAAATGAAATATTAATAAAAAAATTATTTATGTCATAATTAATATGCATTTTAACTACTTTCGAGCTACTTCTGAGTATTGAGGATTGGAAAAATATTTTGAAAGTAAGGATGACACGTAGGCGCCACATAAGCATTTAGGGAAGTATTGGAAATAAGTTTTTCAGAGAACCAAACACACTTTTTTGCTTGGAAGTAACAGAAGTAGCCTCTACTTCTTTTACTTCAGTTACTTCACAATTACTTCAAACTCGTGAATCTATGCTAATAGAAAATGCTTGACTAACTCTTCTCATTTTCCACATAACACTCATCGTTGATCTAGAAAAGAAAGTTCAATGGCTATTTTCTAAAATTGAAATGATGTATTCAAGTTTTATACAATTGAGTAGGACATCCTGCCTCTACTTTTCCTCCAAAAAATAAAAATAAAAATAAAAATCATGTATATAACATCTTATGACTGTTTATGTTTTGACCAATAATTTTACTGATTTCTAGATATCCAATACTTTTATATCTTATTACTGGTTTGGTAAATGTATATATAGAAAGCGACTCGAGATTTGTTTAAAGTCTAAGTAGTTTGATTAATTAGACAGGTTCCTAACGTATGCTTAAGTCTTTCTCACGGTCGTATCTGCCACATAACGTATTGTTTTTTCTAAAAAAAAAGGATTGATCATGTGAAACTAATTTGTCTTTGAAACTTAAAAAGTAAAATAAATTAAATATTGTCTCGGGTTTGGCTTTAATCCACACTCATGAAAGGTTGGTCCGCTTTCTGTAAAAGTAAAATTTTATGTCAAACACAAGTATAGTTTCATTTTCAACCTTAATTTTTGTGTATATACACCTAACATATGGGGAAAAATTTTCTTATTTAAGAATACTATTAAGCACCTCATTGTCCATAAGAACCAGCGAAATGACTATTATTACCTTCATCTTCTTCTTTTTTCTCCAGAATAATACTACCGCTTGAAGTAGATTAAACTCTACCTATTTTTGGATATAACTTTTTTTCTTATATGTTAGAAAAAAATTGTTTTTTTTTTGGGTGGGTTGGGGGGGGGGGTTTGTTTTTTTTTTGGGTGGGTTGGGGGGGGGGATGCTTTTGGCATTAACACTATGTGACAATAAATTACACATGACCTAATTTTTGGATATAAATGGCATAGAAAGTAACTAGGACGCGAGAAAACTTGTGCAGTTGACTAGTATAAGAGAGTAAATGTCTTTGTACCCATCTTTTGATAATTTGGTTTTCACAGAGTTGGCAATTTCATTTCGAATTTGAACACTTGTGATGCATGGCAAACTTTTAAGAATGATTGATTAAGAAAAATGAATAAAATTAACTCATTAATTTTGAGTGAAAATTGCTAGATTCGTTAATCTATTAGGTAAAAACTAATCGTATTAATTCCTGCTATTTTTAATGTTTGATAAGGGCGAGGATTGTCTTCATGTTCGATTTGCGTGTATAAATGTTTTCTTTTAATACTCTGTCATGTTATTGATTTGTCTATTATTTTTTAGGGTTATTGAGATCCTTAATTTTAACTAATCTTTTTCACTTTTTACGCTTTGATAAATTAAGACGGTTTAACTCGATTCATCATGCATGCGCATTTTGTGTTTGACAATTTAATAATAATATTGTTTTCCTTGATTCATCAATCAAGCCCTTTTACTTAACCCTGTATTAAAGTGTGACATGATTCCTCAATCCTTAATCCCCTTAAATCTAAACCGCCTACACGTGTCAATGATGGCCGGACCAAATCCATACAAGACCCATTGCAGGGGATCCCCAACGGTTTCATGCAGACCCGCGCATGAGCACAAAAACAGTGACTCGGTCCTCGGATGATGGCTATTGATTTCTTCTCACGCTCAGCATGCCGTGTTAGTTATCTCCCTTTGTTCTAGATGCGGAAAAGGATGCGGAATTTTGGGGCAAAAGTGCAAAACCTTTTTCAAACTTTCGCGGTGGGGAATGAAAACTACGTGGGTTTGATAAGGACTTACTCGGAATTTTATTTTCATCATCGATCTTTGTTTTAAGTCATTGCCTTTACCAATAAGCTAGCCAGGCAGTTAATGCACTGGATTTTTGCTAACGTCACACTCTAATGAAGATTGTTGTAAGTTCCAGATTTTAACTCTGGACTGTGATGTGTTTGTTCACAGAGCAATAAAATAAAAATTGTACTATAATAAAATTAATGAAAAATCGTCTTAAATCATATTACTAAATTTAAGATTATAGTGTACGCATGGATTTTACGCTGTTAGTGAAATCCATGTAAAATTATGGTACCATATCACCAGAATATATAATTTAATGGTATTAAATAGGTTGTTGCAACCAAGATCTTTCTTAATAATGTAATTCGGTTAAATGTTTGGATAATAACTATATATTACCATGATTACTGTATATATTGGGTATCCTTGTCACACTCCTATGTAGTACAATCCTCACCATCCTCATAAATGAGAGAGTGTGTGAGTTGGTGGGGATTTGTGCATACTTTATGAGGATGGTGGGGATTTGGCCACATAGGCGACAAGGAGGGAAATCCCCTCCTATGACAAGTATACCTATTAATCTCTCTCTCTCTCCTCTTAATAATAGTTTATTTAGAAAAAGAAGTTATCCTTAAATATCTATTTTTCCTAAATAAATAAATAAACAAATAAAAAAAAACACATCTCCGACCTGTTTTCCCCCGGCCCCCTTTCCTATCCACACTAATTTGTTAAAGATACGAAGATGATACTATGCTCGGCACGTTTTTCATGGAATGGTTTTTATTTGAACAAATTCTGATGACTTGATATATCAGAAGAACCTGCTTAATTAACTTTTGATGACCATCAGATGAACTCTCATAAACTTCGTCGGTAGAGCTAGCTTTGGATAAAACCGATGAAGGGTTGTTGCTGTGTGCTGGTAAGGCCTGAATCCTACGTACGGCTTGTGAGTTGTGAAGGAAGCCGTTGATTTTGAAACATAGCTCCAGCGAGGAAACGGTGCCTCGATCTCAAATGGTTTTGAAATTATCAATTGGAATGATAGAAAATTTCAAAAGAACGAGTGGAATCTCACGCCTTAATTGGGTGAGATCGTAAACCCTGATAGAGTGAACTCTCTTGATCAGCGCTAAGAAACTCTGCCGGTGAGGTGGAGAACTCGAGCCAAAAAGATAGCCAAATTTTGAAACCCATGCGCTAAGGGTCTCTATTTATAAAGAGGATCGCGCCTCTATTTTGACGATCTGAAGAGCGTGTAGTTCTCAGAATCAGGGCCGTACGATGTTTTTTTTGCTAGATCTACATCATAAAACTTGAGATCTAAAACCATATAGCCATGATTAATTCAAAGAGATTAACAAGGATCTAAATGAGCGGAAGCTTATACCTGAATCCATTGCTTGATCTTGAGATGGGTTTTGATCTTCTAACCTTAGGGTTCTCTCTAGCCGAATTTCTCTCAAGATGGGGGTGAAGAGAATTAGAGAATGTAACCCTATGTTAGGGACCATAACCCCTTATTTATAGATGTTGTACTTTTGTAATTTAGCCCCTCAATAAATTACAATTACAACCTGGTATCTGCACATATAACCCCATGACTTATTTAAATACCAAATTAACCCAACTTAATTGATCACTTTAATGGGTTATCCTGAAAGATAGCAATACACATTGATTAATCATATGTGCCCACAAATAGATTTATTATATTAAATCCAACATTTTTAACAGAAACTAAAGTTTATGCAGACCTAATAGCTAGCCTCATGTAAAACCTTAGTTGCTTGCATTATTTATTTGTTTTTGTTTTTTTTTTTTTTGAAGCGGAGAAACAGGGGTGAGATACCATGTTCAAATATATATATATTGATATAGAAAAATAGTCTAGAATTTACAAATCAAATAACCGACTAGGCAACAAAAAGGTGAGGATAGGAACCGAAGAAGATGTTATCGGAGGGCAACAAATACATATTGGTTGCTTGCTTTTTGTAGCCTCGTGTAATCATTTGTGTGCATTTTATCTTCTTGCGCACTGCATTCTTCTGACTCGTTCCAGATCTGAATGCCAATTCGTGGCTAACGTGGCACTCTTATCTACGCAGATCACGCAGGGTTGGCTAGACCTGCGTAAACACCATATCCATGTGTAATTAGTAACTTAGCCAATTTCGAGTGAGTTTCTGTATTGATTCTCGCTTCGCCTTGACTTGTGACTTCGTAGACTTGCATCCTTAACCAATTGTCATCCCATATGATTGCGATGTGCCCATTGGCCATGTTTGATACTTTGTTCTTGATGGGGTCTTGTATAGCAGTTAGACTATTTGATTTTAAGGTTTGGTGTGTGGGTTGGGTTTTCCCTTTTTTTTTTTAATGTCCAATACCATATCACTTTTATAATCAAGATAATACAATCTTGACTGTCGTGTAAAAGGCTAAATCACAGCAATCATTTGATCAGATCGGACGGCCGTGATGCATTTGATGATACAATGAGACCAGATCAAATTTCCAAATCCGTTGCATCCTACTGCATTCGAATTTAGTAAATAATACAGAGCAATTATAGTGGGAAACCGCCCGCCCAACCTCATCTCTTCCTGATTACTTCCACCTCAATTCCACTCGTAAATTACAAATCTACCACAATTCATGATGTTTTTTTTTTCTTTTTTACAAAATAAGTAAACATAAAACAACAAAAAAATAACAAATATTAATGAAGCGTTCGCATTCAAATACGAGTATCGAGTAGTATCCTTTACACTTCCATTCTCTCCCCTGATTCAAATTTCACGAAGGAAAGAGAGAGCAATCTCTCAGGATCCAAAGGACCAAACCTGTAAGTCTCTGATCTCTAACCAAATCTGACGATTCTCTGTTTCTTGTAAGCTATTGATTTGATTTAGCTATATTTTTCTTTTTTTCTTTTTTTTTTCTTTTGCGAATTTTTAGCGATTTCGTGGGGGTTTGATTTGAGATTGAGCAATGACGGAGAAAGCTGGAGAGTGCAATGGGAGGAGCGAGGGGTCGAAGGTAGAATTCGAGTCGAAGAGAGGGAGAGATCTGAAGGAGAATGGCGTTGGTCGTCGAGATGCGGAGGAGATCGGCGGATCTTTCGTTATAGTGAACGGAGATTCCGACGATCACTCCGATAGGGATCTCGATCTCGACGACAAGTTAGATCCGAAGTTAAAACTAGAGAATGAGAGAATTTGTGAAACTAGGGTTAAAAATGGTGAGAAATTGAGTGGAAATAATGTTGAGGATGAGGAACGTAATGTGAATGGATCAGAATCTGAGATTGAGGTAGAAGAGAGGAAGGAATCTGAGGGTGAAGAGAAATTGGACTCTGACGCTCAATTAGAACAAAAGGAGGTCGAGGTCGATAGTGTTAAGGAGGAAAATCTTGAAGAGGAGAGGACTGAGGGTGATAAGGATCTGGGAGTTGAAGGACAAGCTGATGTTGCGATTGATGGGAGTGATTCTAAAGTGGAATTGGGATCTGAAGTTGAGAAGGAACCTGAAACTGTTGAAATAGAGAACGGTCACTTAGATGAATTGCAGTCAGCTTCTCCCATGGAAGAAGAAAAGGAGTCTTTCGATGTGGGAGAAATCAATGTAGGAGAAGGTCAAAAGACTGTGGATGTGGTTGGAGAAAATGATGATGAACCAAACAAGGCGGTTCACACTGTAGTTGAGGTGACCGAGAATTCAGCAGAGTTAGGATCAACTGTTGAATTAGAACCGAAGCAGGAGACCAACGCTGGGGTTGAGGAGACTGAGAAGTTAGAAAAGTTAGGATCATGTGTTGATGAAGAACCCACAACAGAGCCTAAGGTGGTTGTTGAAGAGAGAGATAAATCTGAAGTAGAAGAAGGGAAGGAACTGGAAGTTGTGGTTGAAGAGAACAACAACCAGGTAGAGATAAGATCGGCTGTTGATGTAGAATCGATGCCTGAGCTTGATGCTGTGGTTGAAGAGAGGGATAAAGCTGAAATAGAAGAAAAGGACAAGGTTGAGGTTGGGGCACAAGAGCATAGCAACCAAGCAGAAACAGGATCAGCTGTTGAAGTAGAACCTGAACAGGAGTCTAAGACCGTGCAAGAAGAGGCTTATAAAATTGAAACAAAAGAAAAGAAGAAGTCTGAGGATGTGAATGCAGCACATACGTCATCTAAGCCCCTTCCCCTTGAAAATGGTGTAGCCGAAGTCCAGAATGCTGATAGCAATGCTCCAACAAATGAACCCTCAGGTCAGCTTACTGAAGAAATTAACCAGGATTCCTCATTAAGAAACCATGTTTCTGAGAAAGAACCACTTGAAAAAGTTAGCTATTGTACCGATGACAAGCATGAGGAACTAAAAGTTGGCAATATTGATACAGTTACATCAGAACCCAAAACTGAGATTTCGGGTAAAGAAATTGAACCTCGCTCGTCTGATCCTGCTACTGTTGTAGATTCAGAGACAGAAGCTGAAGAGCTTTGCCTCAGTGAAAATACTGAAGCTGAAAAAATGGATTCCATTGGAGGTGTTGAAATAAACAAATATGTAGCTGTTAATGGACTGAAACTTGAATCTGAGAGCAGAAATGAATCTGTCAAAGGTAGTGAATGTGTTGTCAGTTTTACTGAAGGGGACCGATCAACAAATAAGGATGATGACGAAGAACCCAACCATGAGCAAACTCAAGCTGCTGAAACAATACAAGCTCCTCCAGAGTCCCATGTTGTGAAACGACATCGAGTTTATATGATTAAGGTCCCTCGATTCATTGATGACGAGCTCCAGAAGAAGATTCAGGATGCCATGAAGATAGTGGATGAGAAAACTAAAATCAGAGATGAGAAGGGGGATCTGACAAGAAACCAAGCGGTAACGTATAAACTTTTGAAGTTTTTTTTTGTTTTAACTATTTAAACTGCTCTTATCTGACTAATTATTTCATGTATATATTTAGGCCATAGTCCACCAAAAATCGTTAGATTATAAAGCTGCATTGGCTAAAGAGATGTTCAAACGAGCTATATTTAAGGCAAAGCGCAATGAAGTAGAGAAAGAACAGGAGGCAATCAGCAGGATAAACAATGCAAATTCAATTGCTGATATTGATGAAAAGGTGCAAGTTCTGCATGCTCATTTGGCGAGTTCATTTACTTTAAGCTTTTTCTTCTTTTCATTATCTTCATCTTTTTCCTCCTCTTCTTCTTGTTTTGATGTCCGCAGATAAGGAACATGGCCCATAGGCAGCAACATGAAACTATTTCTTTGAAACAAGAAAAGCAATATATTCATGATATCAATCAGATGAAACGCCTTCGGGAACAACTTTCTTCAAAGGCAGCCCCACAGGAACAAATTGATGAGGCACTCAACCAAAAAGAAGAGGTTGAAGGGCGTTTTAAGGTAATTTAATCCACATTTTAGAATCGTGTATTTTGTATATTTCTACCATCTAACATGCTCGTATTTGCTACATGTAGAATTTGAAAAAAGAATTAGACACACAAAGAGCAGCTTTGTTAGAAGCTGAAAGCTGCACAAAATTCGCATGGAATAAGTACACGGATGAAGACCAAATTTTAAAGAGTTTGAAAGAAGAGTATAATGCAGCTGATGGAGCTAGGCAAGAAGCTTATCTAGAATTGAGAAAACTCAGAAATCAGTCAACCGAGAAGGTATTTTTATATTTGTGTTTTTGGCTTCAACTGCTCTATTGAATGATCGATTACTTGCTATTGTCTTTGCACCTTATTTATCCATAGATCAGACAGTTAATACTTATTTGCTTAAAATGGTCCGACAATTTCATTTTCTTTCCCTTTATTTTTGTTGAAAAAACTGTTCCTTTTAATTGTTAGAGCACAAGGCCTTGAAGACCCGCAAATCTTTATTGCATTTCATATTTATGCCCTTGCTTCCAAATAATTCTGAATTTTAACTTTGAATAAATCTTTAGAAAACAAGATGGAAATCAAATTCAGGTTACCAAAGAAAAGAATGCTCTTTACCCAAATTTCTTGTTGCCTCTGTTGCTAATGCTGAAACTTCCAAGGTAAAGGTCAACATGTAACCCAAATAATAAAATAAAGGAGACCAGGAAAGGAAGTCCCTTAATGTAATATCCGAGTATTCTTATAGACAATATAGGGATCTTGCATGCAACTGAATGGAATCCTTAACCCTGTCGACACATTGTTATCAACCAAAATAATATTTGTTTCATTATGATTATATCCTGAGCAAATGTATCATTTCTACTGTACTTTCTGTGCATGTTGCTCCATCGTCTTGCACTAGTCTTTGTATCTTCAGAGATATGCATGGAAACTTATCCAGCCCAGTAGAAGAAAGCTTGCTTTTGTTTGACCATGATGTTGGTACGACAAAATCAATGAACATGTCAAGATTCAAACTCCAGCCTAACTATGCTGCTAAATACATCCCAACCATTGAATGTCAAGATTTTTCACCTGCATGTGTATAGGATAGCCATATTTCATTCAACAACCCCTCAATGTGGACCTGTAAACCTCTGAATAGACTTGTGCAGCTGTGGGAGTGAACTGTAACAGTAGTATCCTTCTACTTGTTGATATTATTTGGAAACAGTGATGACCTCTATCTCTAGCTACTCAATAAATCATGGAAATCTCGAGCTATTCCCAAACTTTCAACACGTTTTCTCAAATTATTCATATGGTATTTGTTCTTCTCTTTCAGAAAAAAATAATGGCAAATTATCTTTCGTTCTTATTGTCATGCTTGTTTCTATGCACCGAATCTATCTTACATTACTACCTATATCATCATTTGTGGTTAATTTGTAGGAGATTCTTGAATCCTTTTCAAACTTGAGCTGACAATTGCTGATACCGATTTTATCTCTTAAAATTGCTATTTGTTCCAAGTTCCAATATCATTTGTTGAAATAAGTGTTACATATTGCATTTGTATGCAGTTCAAACATTTTAAAATGTTCAAGTCTGACGAGTTGACTGCAAAAAACTACATATTTTCTGGAGATAACCAGGGGCTCCTGTTCCATTGCAGCAAACAGGTGAGCGTTTTTCCTGTTGTCAACTAAAGTTCCACTTAAGCATCTGCTGACATGTTTATCAACAGGTAGAAAGAATTATGGATCTGTGGAATAACGATAAAGAATTCCGTGAGCAATATGTGAAGTCAAACATTTATAGTACACTGAGGAGATTGGGAACTCCAGATGGACGGTCGCTTGGTCCTGGTGAAGATGCACCTGTCATTCAATCTCATGTAGCTAGAAGTTCAAATACCAGCACTGTTCCTTCATCAAAGAGAGAAATTCGTGCTCCTGTTTTAATGTCAGAAGTTAGAGAAGAAAACTTGACCGGACCTTCTGAAACCAAACAAGCATCGAGAACAAATCAATCAGCAAAGTCGAAATCTTCTGCTAAGCCTTCCCTTGCAGAAGGAAGTAAGCTGAAAGTTTCTAACATTGAAGAATCAAAAGAAGCTGAGAAATTAATGAAGCTGAAAAAAGAGGAAGAGGAGCTGACAAGGAAGGCAGAGGAGTTGGCGAGGAAGGAAGAAGAGTTGAGGAAAGAGAAGGCTGCAAAGGAGGAGGAGTTGAGGAAGGAGAAAGCTGCTGCTGAGCTGAAAGAAAAGTTGCGGTTGGAGCAAAAGGCCAAAGCCAGGGAGGCTGAGGAAAGAAAGAGGCGGAAGGCTGAAAAAGCCCAGGCAAAAGCTGAATATAGAGCACGAAAGGAATCCGAACTCAAAGAAAAGGTAACTTGAAGTATTTCTTAAAAATCGATAAGTAAGAATTTTATTCAGTACACTAGTAGCACCAAAATATATATTACTTCTTGTCTAGAGGTATGATCTTAAAAGCTAATTGGTCACTTTCATGCCCAGCTTGAAATTCTGTTTTGCGCTTCAAGGCTATGTTTTAGGACCCTTTTCCCATCTAGTTGTCCGCTGAGAAATAAAATAGTCTGAACAGGTGAATAGTATATTTAATGACATATCTAATCTGAATGAAAAAAAATGCATATAATATATGCTTCAACAAACATTAATACCACTCAAGCTGCATCCATTATCATGCTCATTTTGACTTGTGATGTGAATATTAGGTCATAGAAGCTCATTTGCACTGATCAATAAAGTGCAATTGCTATCATGCATAACAGCGAGAAAAGTTTACTACTTACTATATTCTCTTCAGATGATATTCATAGCAAGACCTGATTCACAACAAAATATTTATAGATTTCAACTACACACCTTTTCATGCTCATTTTTACTTGTTATTGAATCTTATGTTGTAGAAGTTCATTTGAATTGATCAATAAAATACAATCACGCAAAAATTGAGAAAATTTTACCCTTCAGGATATTTTTTTCACAAAAAAATTGCAATTGATACTCATAGCAAGATGTGATTACTGCAAATGTTTTCTTCACCTATAATCTACTAAATCAGAGCTCTCCAAACATTTCTACAGAAGAAAACAAAGAAGGAGAATAAAAAATCAGGCACAACAGACACATCAAATGAAAGGGAAATTACACCCATTGTCGACACAAATCCTCCAGAAACATCTCAGGAGTCTGAATCCTCTCATTGTGCTGCTCAGAGGAGGAAGGCTCCAAAGCCAGCATCCTCAATGAGGCAATACAACAAAGTACAACCTCCTGTTCCTTTGCCTCTTCGCAACAGGGGTAAGAGAAAGATGACTACATGGATGTGGGCTTTACTCGTTGTTCTACTGGTGCTCGTGCTCTTTTTTGCTGGAAATTATATTACTTTTTCTACATCTGGCCTGCCAAATTTCAACTTCTAGGCATATATATTCATACTGATTACTATATTATATGTTAATTGTTCGGTCTATAGAAGATAGGAAAGGGATGCTATCAAAAGATTAATTTAGGCTTTCTTCCTCTTTGGCTTTACATTCATTTATATGGTTTGCCCTTCTTGGTTTGAAATTACATTTCGGAGGCGTATTTATACCCATCATTATTTTCAATACTACCTTACTGAAATTGTAAACATATTAATAGTAATGGCGGTGTTTCATTCCCTTGGGCTGCTGTTATTAATGATGGTGTTTGTCTTAGTAAGATCTTCTTCTCTCTTTTTTTAACTTCGAATCTGTAATATAAGAGTTTGTTAGAACTGTTTGATATTTGGAGAAGAAACTACCTCCATAGATTTTAGATCCATGTCTATATTTTTTGTTCTTCGGCCATGGCAATAATGCAAGTATGTGGAGTTTTTCATTTCTTTGTTTTAATTTTATTTTGACGGCAAACTATGGCAATCTGGATATCTGTTACGAAGGATCAGTTATTTCACTTTGTGTTGTTTTCTGTTTCTATACGCCCCTGTTAAGGCTGACGTTTGTTTGGCGTGGCTTTTATGCTTTCCTCCCTTTTGTTGAGATAAATCGAAGGAGGAAACAGTGAGAAAATGTATTATCCAGGAACTGAATTTTCAGATGTAGTAAAATATTCTCTAGCTGTTTAAAGACAAAGTGTTTTAATCTTCTGCATCTTCGGATTGGGGTAGGTACTATTTAGCTGCGTGTTCTTATGAATTCTGATGCGCTAATCTTCGCATGTTCAGAAGCACATATAATATCTTTGGTTCTTAGCTGTTTTTGCCTGCATCAAGGGTAAAATAGAGAGAGAGAGAGAGAGAAAATATTACTATGAACTTTTTTTTGCCTTTTTAAGATGGTGCAAGCGTCGATGAGCCCTAATAAGAGCAACGTCTTTAGCGGCGTCTGTTAAATCTTTTCAGAATCCTTAGGCTCAAATCCGTGCGCTGTGCGGTACCCAGTCACCATAAACGTTCATTACCTGGTTCGGTAAGCGCTGATAACATCAGATGCAAATCATGCAATATGGGCTGCTTTGGTGACCGTCCAGCTATTTTGAGTGACCAAGCGGCCTGAATTACGAAACCACGTCATCTCCAAGAAAAAGCTAAGCCGTATCGGAATCAGATGGGGAGTTCAGATGCGTGGCGCATGTTAGAATGTGAGTCTCACGGTCCAACCTCAACAGCTATCGAGTCCGAATCCAATCCATTTGATTTAGCGATGATGACTGATGGCACGAGGCATACTAGCTATATCGAAGTCGTCCCCCACGATGCCCTGCCAATTACAGGGCTACGACTGTCTTCGCAGCTGGTTCAGCGGCGACGATGACTCACCACGAAGACCCTCTCTTCGATTCTCCGGTCCAAGGCATGCCCAACAACCCACATTGTTTCTCCGCATCACATCAAGTCTGTCAATTGAAATACCTTATCCTTAAGGTACTTCGGCCAGGATCAAGCCTGACTTATCTCTAACATGTACTCACAAAGTGCAGACGGAGATTTCAGTTGCAGTCGGCTATCAGACGAGGATCTTACCGTCATCAAAGTATACCCGTTCTGATTCTGACTGCAGTACACCTGTCCAGGTTCTACTGCTTGGAATGCTCGACTATCGACGCTCTGATCGTATGACGTCAGCTTGCCGTGAACAAAAAGGCGACGGTAAGCTCGACCTCAAATGGCTAATGCCTGTTCGTGACCTACCTGTCCTCAGGTACACGCGCTAAAAAAGCCCAGATGAGGGCTACATTCGTTGCCAGAATCGTTCCTTATGAAGCGTTGCCGAGTATATAATTAGAAAAAGAGGTGGTACATTTGAACAGAAATCTGAGGTCACGGCCTAATAGTTTAAGCTTTTGAGTTAAAATTCTGTTTAAGAAGGATTTAGCGGGTAAGAGACGCATGGGAATTCTCTTGCTTAATCTCGGAGAGAGGTAAAGATAAATTACTGATGATGAAATCGTTACAATACGTACGTCGTGATAAATTACTGACCATCATGTTGCCTTCAATGCCAATTCACAGGTTGTTTATTCTATCTGCCATTGATAAATAGTATAAGTATTAAAATTATTATCAATGGATAAATGAGATTGAGGTATTACAAGAAAAGTACGAAAGAAAAAAAATAAGATTTTGGTTCAAAGTAGCACCCTAGTTAGGATAATTTAACCTCAATGTTATTCAAAAGCAATTGTAGGATCAACTTAAACATTTGTCTTAACAAACAATTCGAATAAAAGTCTACATAAGGTTACACTATATAAGCGTCACGTACGTAATAGTTAAACTTGGTCCAACATTTAAAGGACAAATTTTCAAAACCATCCCTTTTTAAATTTTATTTATAAAAAAACGACCCATTTCAACTTTAATTACAAAAACAAACCCAATTGGATGAAACTGGGTCTGTTTTTGAAAAAAAAAATTAAAACTTCACGGGAGTTGAACTCCCGTGAAGTTTTGTTATGAGATAAAACTTCACGAGAGTTCAACTCCCGTGAAGTTTGAATTTTTTTTTTCAAAAACAGACTCAGTTTCATCCAACTGGGTCTGTTTTTGTAATTAAAGTTGAAAAGAATCTTTTTTGGGAATAAATTTCAAAACCGGATGGTTTTGAAAATTTGTCCACATTTAAAAGATTACAAATTATCCCCTCCTCACGTCTTTTGTGCAAAGCCCCCTCGCACTTCCCTCCAAAATTTTGCGAAAAACACTGAAACCGCAAATATCGTCCAAAAGATGTCAGATAGCGTCTTGGTTCTTTTTCCCCTTTTAAAAATAAAAAAAAATGAAAAAGTTGTGAGTGATGTCATATAATATAATTTCCACCATTACATTGATTTCAGACCCCATTTACCTCCACTATTCTCATTTCTCCTTGACCAATTTCTTAACAGTCTCTCTGCCTTCCCCTCTCTTTCTGAGATTGATAATGGCTTATTGGAGCTCCATTCTCTATCATCTTTTCCTACTCTCTTTGGTACTGGATGGAGCAAGACTCTGCTTCTCTTCAGAGGTGAGTTTGTTGATGATTCTCTTATATGGGTTTGGTTATTTTTGTCCAATTTCTTGCTTTAATTGACATTTCCTTTCCTCAGGTTTATGTGGTTTACATGGGGAGCAAAAATGCAGAGAACCCAGACGAGATTTTGAAGCAAAATCATCAAATGCTCACTTCTCTTCATGGAGGAAGGTATTATTATAAAGGCCTAATCACAGTTTTCAGGAAGTGGGTTTTTCGACTTCATTGTTTTCCAATTGAAAAATGACTGAAAAATTGTTCTTTGAATAGCATAGAGAAAGCAAAAGCATCCCATGTTTATAGCTATAGCAATGGTTTCAAAGGATTTGCGGCGAAGTTAACGAGAGAGCAAGCTTCAATTTTGGCTGGTAACTTGATCGTAACTTGAAATGCTTATCTCCCTTCTCTCTCTCTCTTCTCTCTCTCTCTCTCTCTCTCTCTCTCTCTCTCTCTCTCTCTCTCTCTCTCTCTCTCTTCTCTCTCTCTCTCTCTCTCTCTCTCTCTCTCTCTCTCTCTCTCTCTCTCTCTCTCTCTCTTTCTCTTTTGTTTAGCTATTTTGCAATGTGAAATTTATTCTTCGCGTTCTTCGCAGAGATGCCCAATGTGGTTTCGGTGTTTCCTAATGAGAAGAGAAGCTTGCATACTACCCGTTCTTGGGATTTCATGGGTCTTCAAATGGATGAAGCGATGGAGATACCGGGCTTTTCTACTAAGAATCAGGAGAATGTCATCATTGGATTCGTTGACACTGGTGAGCTTTCTAATCAATTTGAAGATTGCCTTAAATGTCAATTGACGCATTTCCCGTTAGTTGTCTTTGGCTACTTGATATGCGATGAGTATTATTTGAGGGGCTTAGAGTGATTGCTTCAAACAAATAATTCTCAATTATTCAATTTAATTTCTTGCTAAAGTGCGTAAAAATTGTTTAATGTGGGAAACATATTTTCTGCAATGAGTTTGAATAAGCTTGTGTTTTCTCTATGTTTAATGAGTTGCCTATAGTAAATTCTTTCATTTTTAAGAAACTTTGATGTCAAATCCTAGTTGGACATCAGATATTGCAGACGGTTGTCTTGATTAAAACAGGTTAATCTTTTTCTCAGTGACAAACTAGAATTGAGCTGAGACGAATAAGTAATATTCGATGACTACTATTTTTCTGGAATTGTTAACTTAATCTCTACGGTACTTAAGAGTGTTTGCCAACATGGTGGTGTTCTACCAACAAATTGGTCATTAAGTTCCTGTGGCAGGCTCCTCTCTTTCCCATAACAAACTTGCTCATATTGTACAAACTCATACACAATTGGTATCTCACCTATCATTAGTCCTATAAATTTGATCAATTTATCTCGAACAACCTGTTATCATTCTAGATTTGAAACACATAGAGAACAGTTGGGGGTGTTAAGATTGGAACCTCAAAAGTGTCTAGTTTTTGGTATCCTAGACATTGAACAAATCAGCATTTTGTTGTTGAAGAAATTTTGTTTGAGTTAGATATTACTTTGGTTAGTACTACTGGTGCTCTAGGATACAACTGACTCACTGCACAATCTCAGGAATATGGCCAGAATCGCTGAGTTTTAGTGACAAATGGATGCCTTCAGTACCTCCAAGATGGAAAGGTCTATGCCAAATTGGAGAAAATTTCACAAAATCATCCTGTAACAAGTATATGCTCATTCACTAAGATCCATTTATCTAAGTTATACATTGCCTAGTAAATTATTCACCACTTACAAATCTTCATGTTATATCAGAAAAGTTATTGGAGCAAGGTACTACCTAAATGGCTACCAAGCAGAAGAGTCTAAGAATCCAGATAAAACCGTAAAGTTCAGATCCCCCAGAGATAGCTCTGGCCACGGGACCCACACAGCGTCAACTGCTTCAGGTCGGGTCGTAACCAAAATCAACTACAACCATTTGGGTCTCGGTGCAGCTAGAGGAGGAGCTCCAATGGCAAGGATTGCAATCTACAAAGCATGCTGGGACTCTGGTTGTTATGATGCAGATATGCTTGCTGCTTTTGATGATGCTATAGGAGATGGAGTTGATATAATATCGGTTTCTTTAGGCTCAAATTCTCCTCAAAGGGACTATTTCAGTGATTCAATCTCGGTAGGCTCGTTTCATGCTGCAAGTCATGGGATTCTTGTTGTCGCTTCTGCTGGAAATGTGGGAACACGAGGCTCTGTAGCTAATCTCGCTCCTTGGATTCTCACGGTTGGTGCTAGTTCGACAGATAGGGAGTTTGTATCGAGTTTTGTTCTTGGGAACCGAAAGAAATTCATGGTAAATATTACGTCTTCATCTGATGCGCTCTAGGTATATGATGGGAGAAAGCTAGAATAAGTTTAAGCGTTGTGGTGGCTCTGTTCACCAACTTTTTTATCGGTTGGATTTGCTTTGAGTTTCGTATTGCCTCGTGATACACATCAAAGCTATCTTTTAGATGTGTGCCTGAGTTGGTGGATGGAGCTCTTAGTCCACTTTAGTTTATTCTAGCTGTTTCCCTATTTGATGACTATCTTTATTAAGAACATCCTTACTGGACAGGGTGAGAGCTTGAGTACCTTCAGAATGAAATCACCAGCAAGGATTATCTCAGCTTCTGAAGCCAATAATGGTTTATTTACTGCTTATCAATCCAGGTGAATAAAGCAAAAGTTAATAAACGCGTACAGGAGCTAATATATTGGTGCATAGTAATAAAGTGTAGAAGAGAAGATGAGAAACTTAACAATAAACAGAGAAGAAAAATCCCTAATTTGTGGTGATTTTTGCATTGATACTTCTTGTTTTTTCCTTTATATAGTTTCTGTCTGGATGGCTCTTTAGATAGAAAGAAAACTCGAGGAAAGGTTGTTGTTTGCCGCCATTCTGGGAATCCTTCAGAATCAAGGGTGTCTAAGAGTTTAGTTGTCAAGAGAGCTGGAGGAGTCGGAATGGTTCTAGTAGATGAAGCAGAGAGTGATCTTGCCGCTCCGTTTGCAGTACCTGCTGCTATCGTTGGAAGAACAATTGGTGAAAGAATCCTGTCTTATGTTAACTCCACAAGGTAGGATTCAGGTGATTGGTAGCTCTGAATTGAACACATGCGATCCCTTTTGTTGAAGAAATGTCTGGTTCGTGATTTTTTTCTTTTTAATAACAAACAGGATTGACATTTACAAGGTTTAATTGCAGATAAATCGTTGTTATGAACTTACGACCCCTATAATTTTATTTTTGCACATAAAACTCCAGGGTGAAATTTGACCTGTTACCCTTAGAAAAAGAGAAAATTATTTTGTTGACAAATAGACCCCCAGACGGTAAAAGAGTCGGAGGAAATTCACTCAAGGGGTCTATCTGCAGCAATAAAACTAGAGAATAGTAAGTTCAAAACAATGCTACTTCAGGAGTCTATCCACAATTAACCCTATTTACAAAGATAGAAATTTGTCTCTAGGACCTTTGACTTTTAAGCAACACCGAAAGTTAAGCGACAAATGTAAAGAGCTCCTCCTGATGTCTTGCTTAGTCAATTTGGATCTTTTGAGTCAAAATGGTAGTTCCTACTTTATAACATCAGTTTATCCTTCACATTGTTTGTAGGAAGCCAACATCATTTATTTCACCAGCAAGGACCGTAATAGGATCTCGACAAGCCCCTAGAGTAGCGGCATTCTCTTCCAAAGGACCCAATTTACTGACAGCAGAAATTCTCAAGGTTTATAAGTGTAGTGCCAGATTCAAGTTACTTTCAATTTGATATCAAATTCTCACTGGATTTTTTTATTTCTGTAGCCTGACATTGTAGCTCCCGGGTTGAATATTTTGGCTGCTTGGTCTCCCGCAGTTAATAAGAGACTGAGATTCAATATACTTTCTGGAACTTCCATGTCTTGTCCTCATGTAACTGGCCTTTTGGCCTTGATAAAGGCAGTATATCCATCATGGTCTCCTGCTGCAATCAAGTCTGCGCTCATGACAACAGGTTAGTTCTCCAATTTTGTTCGATGATAGTAATTGATATAATTGATAATTCAGTACAGGTGCATCTTGGTTAAACTTGCTGTTCCAATTGACAACAAAGATTTTGTGATTATTTGCATTAGTTTGCTATTTTTACTTATTCCACAGCTTTTGTGCGTCATAGAGGATTCTATCCTTACGAGAAAGGCCTAGTTGTTGTTTTCAGGGACATAAGCTTTTTTATGCTAAAAAACATAAGACCAAATTACAGTAAAGGCTTGGTTCGTTCTCTAAGAGCTTGTCTGTAAACAAACATTCCAGCACATAATGATCGTAGGTTTCTTTAATCTTTTTGTTAAAACAATCGCACAATTACATTTTCCAGCACAAATGTGATCTCATTTCTGAACCTCCTATTATTTTGGACACCTTAAACTATGCATATTGCGGGCCTTCAATGTTCCCAAGTCCATCTGATTCATGAATAACTTTTCCATCGAATTCTCAAGATTTCATGGAAAATCCTCTTTGTTTTGAGGGAAAGTGGTTGAGATTTGTGGTCACAGTCCCAAAATGCTCTCGACCTTAGGGAGAGAGTGGAAAAGGGGATCCACATTCAACTTTCTAACCAACTAAAAGAACAAAAACGATGGAAAGTTTGAGGCTTTATAGGAAGTTGATTTTATCGGATTTCCAAAACTTCAAGTTGTCATCCAAACAACCCCTTGCTGGAAAATGTAATTGTGCAATTGTTTTCAGAACTAAAATTTGACCTTGCATACAAGAAGGCTATAAGATCCTGAAACCTTGTACCCCATTTTTGTAATTATGAAACTACACAATCACTTTGCTAACTCTATCTACTGTTATTTTTGTGCAGCAACTGTATTGGACAAGGAAAAAAATCCAATCACTGCCGACCCCTCAGGAAGAATCGCCACCCCATTTGACTTTGGCTCAGGCTTCCCATCGCCCTCAAAGTTCTTAGAGCCAGGTCTTGTTTATGACATTCAACCTTCAGACTACAGGAACTTTCTATGTTCAATTGGTTACAACGACAAAACTTTACAGTTAGTAACAGGAGACAGGAGCAAATGCACTGGCTTAGCTCCAACAGCTTCAAACCTGAACTATCCATCCATCACTGTACCAAATCTTAAGGGAAGGATTTCAGTAACGAGAACTCTAATGAACGTGGGAAAACCTCAATGCAGTTACAAAGCTCTAGTAGTTTCGCCGAGTGGAGTTAATGTAACTGTGGCTCCAAAGGTTCTTGATTTTGTGAGGTATGGTCAGAAGATACGCTTTACCGTGAGTTTCAATGCAGCTGATTCTTTGGCGGATTATGTGTTTGGATCATTGACATGGAAGTCTGGGAGATTTCAAGTGAGCAGCCCTTTGGTGGTTAGGTTTGCAACTGATACTGGCTTATGATGATGAATCGGAGCTTCTTCGTGTAAGAAAACAGATAGAAACTACAGTGCGGGTTCATTGTAAAAACTCTTGGTTCCGTTATCAGCTGAAATTTTTAGAGAAGCTGGTTCAAATTGATCTGGTCCTCAGTTTTGAAATTTTGGAATTACCATAGCTATAAGAACAGGAAGAGTTGTCCTTTTTTTTATTAATTGGTAGAATTTTAGAGAACAATTCAGTGTAGTGCCTATCCTTTTTGATGCTATGAAGTTTGCCTCTTACTGGCTCTTTGTTCTATTTTCACTTCTGTTTAGTTGTTTTATATGGAGGGTTTGAATGATGACAGTGGCAATATTTTATTTTATTTTTCATTGTTTTTTTTTTTTGTTTGTTTGATGGCTCCTCTGTTGATTTTACATTTCAAATAAGATTGTCGAATTATCTGTCCCCAGTAAGTTCCTTTGAACTCATTTGAGAGGGAAATAGCAGGCTGCAGCTGGGTGAATTGCTTGATTTTATCACAATCAAAAAAACGTCAAAAATAAAAAAGAAAAGAAAAGAAAGCTCATCCCCTAAGTCTAAATATAACTGTTCACTGTGTAGGGGAAGCATTAAAATAAGCAAGCAAGGCCTTTATGTAGAGCATCAACCATATGGAAGGACCTGCAAAGATAAGCATGAAATCTGCTAACCCAGTCCTCACACATTAGAAAAGGAAGTAATACAGAAAAAGACAACCAAAAAATAATAATAAATAAATAAAAAGCAATAGCTATGCAGAAACAACAGAGAAAACAAACCTTTGTAATAACATTTTAGAGTTAGCTATGCCAATTATTTATCCTCAATTCAGTTCATCCTGTAAAATATACTCCATCTGCAAAGTCTCGTCTTTCTAAGACCTTCTTTCCCCCTCTTATATCTAATCTAATCTAATACTATTATAAAAGTATGTTGGTATGTTAAAACATTTCTTTCGAAAATGCCCTTTAAAACACATACATACATACATACAACACATGCATCCATACATAAACCATACCTCATACATACATAATCCCTAATTAAATGCATATTATTCATAACCCCTAAAATAATTTCACCATGACTAAGTTGTTTATATTTTTATAACCTCCCATTAACATATTAGTCTCTTATAATTCTCACTAATTATCACTATCATAATTAAAAAAACGTTACAACCATTCATCTTCTTACTAAACCACTATAAATCATAACAAATCTCTTACAAAAATGAATGCATCATATGCACCCTCATCATCTTCATTGCACCTCCTCAAATCCTTGAACGTCTCTTTGTCCCGATTTTTCCTATTTGGGTTTCATTCTCTCCACAACCAATCACTACTTACTATATCTTATTATAACATGATGAGATTAGCATGATTTATAGTGAAAGATTTTTTTCTCTGTCTTTTATAACCTCTCAATAACAAATTAATCCCCTACTTTCTTTCTTAATTCTCACTAATGATCACTACCATAATCATAGAGAATGTTTAACCTGATTTCGCTTATTATAATTTATGTCTTCATTGGTCAATCCCTGTAGGCTGGATTTTTCTTATTTGTTTACAAGGTAACATTTCTACACCAAGCAGAGGAACTTTCAAGCATCTAACAAATTCAGATGTTTACATACCTATATTTTTTTAGCATGATCTATAACCACTAATCAAATTCAGATTAATGTAGATTGTTATATACAGATTCCTTCAATGGACTCAATAAAACTTTTATAACAAATAACAATACACTCTAACAGGGCTAAAAAAATAATTTGAAAAGACTTAAATAGAACTTCTTTAATTGTTAAGAACAACCATCGTCAAACCTCCACACATACACACACACACACATATCAAATAATAAGAAGTAGACTAATTCCTAATGCATATTTTATAGATCATAAATAATAAGTAGACTAATTCCTAATGCATATTTTATAGATCATCAAGATTGATTGACATCGTTTTGATAGCTATTTCTTAAAATCCTCACATTTGCGAAATCAAGATTTTTGAAGTTTGTATTTAATTTTTGTTTTGAGAACCATAAAACCCAATCAAGTATGAAATTCATGATTTAACAATATGTTTTACTTAAAATATTTTATTTAAAGTAATAAAATACATAATTTATTTTAAAGTTATAGTTGTAATGTGCTATAAAAACATAAGATGATGCAAATGGGTAAAAAGAGTTGGACATAATAATAATAATAATAATAATAATAATAATAATATGATCACTACCATAGTCATAAAGAATGTTTCAATTGTTTATCTTTATACTAGCCACTATAAATCACAACTAATTTGTTTAAAATTTTCTATGAATTCTCTTTTAAGTATAATTTCCTACTTCATTATTAACATTAATAAAGTAAGATTTCGAAATAAGCTAAATATAGAGTAAGGCTTCGTGACATGTGTGTATTATTTAGAGCTCAAGGTCTTAAGACTAAATTCTAGATATGACACATCAAGTTACTTCACTTCCAACTGATCAAGTAAGATGAATAATTGAAGAAGAAATAAAGAGTAGTTTCCCGTATTCATATAAATGAGTTTGAGATTTTTAGGTTATGCTCTTACTATGTATATGCAAAGATCTTTAGCACCAGCATAATATGCACATAGCAACCCATATTTTTTAGCGTAACGAAGAAAAAAGATTAAAAATTTTAATATCAAATAATATTCACTCTGCTATTATGGAAATTAACTATAAACTGCGGATATACTTTGGTCATACCCATCATGATGGTTCCTTAAAAAATCATGTACTGAGTTACAAAATCCATCCTTCACAAAAAGTTTTGTCCGATTGAAATTTATAGGTTCAACTTAAAAATATTGTTAGAGCAAAATAATGTCACACATTACTGTAAGACCCCATAACTTTTTTTGATGATGTTTGTTCTTAACAATTGAAGAAGCTCTGATTAAGTCTTTTCAGAGGACTATATAGATTTTGGTTATTTTTTAGCTCTGATAGAGAGTATGTTCTTAGTTGTCATAGAACTTAAAATTTTCATATGAATACAAAATATTTAAATTATTATTTTATAGTCAGTATGTTATTTATCATGCCTAATGGTATAACTATATTACAAATTTGTGAATTAAAAACCCCAGCATGTGCTAAATTATAAACGTCAGACATTATGTTAAATTATAAAACAAATAGAATTATGCTTTTTAGGTTCACAAATTGAATGATGTCTTTCAGGTATTCCATAAGTTTTATTGGAAAGCTCTGGTTTCATAAAACTAAAATTTTAGAAAAATTATAGAGTAAACCTTTAAATTTGCAAAACAACCCTGAAACTTTATAATTTTATAGATATGCTATAAAATTTGCAGAAAGAACCTTGAAATGTCACAAATAAACCTCATAAAAGATTATATTTACTCTAGGATTTTAATGATAAAAAGAAAGCAAAAAATCCTCAAATTACACCTAACACCAAACTTATTATAAAAAAAAAGATAAACATAAAATTAATCCAACAACGTGCAACGCACGTGCACTATACTAGTATATATAAAGTCTATTCATATCTTGCATGGATTCCTAGGTATCATCAATGAATAGAAAGTTTGGTGGATGGTTCACTTAAGTTGACATAAGAATTAAAGACTTTTCATATCATGCAAGGATCCCTAGGCAACATGAGTGGATAGAAACTTTGATGGACCATCCACTTAAGTTGACATAAGAATTGCTCTCTCTCTCTCTCTCTCTATTTCCCTTTCAGATATTCTATCTACCGTATCTCAACATTCTCATCAGTAAAAGATATTTTCAGTAGAAATACCACATACAAAATATAACATATCGACGATAAGAACTCCCCCTTCCCTCTTTTACCCTATTCCATGTATCACATAACTACATCGGCCATCAACCGGTTAAATAGAGAGCAAGCTGAATAGGAATACGTAACTTCTTCCCCCCTTACAGCTTCCCTTGGGACTTGATTTCTGAAGGATCTATAAGACCTTCTAATACAACTAGCTGGTCTAAAAGAGCTAACTTCTCATCTTCAAGAGTCTTGACTTCACCTTCAGCTTTGTTCAGCTCCCTATCCAAGGACAAGCTTTCTTCCTCTAGCAACAAATACTTATGCCTCAAAGCTCTATAGTCACCACTAGAGATCGAGGCTTCCGGTATAATAGAGTCCGGAGTCAAAGCATTCATCTGTTGAAGATGTGGAGATGTGTCGGCTTTCGTTACTTTCTTGGAGACCTTCTTGGTTTTCGAGGGAGGATGAAGAGTTTCCTTGCCTTTGTAAGCCTCTCCTTTCTTCTGAATTGTAGGAGCAACTTGGTTTAGTGGCTTCTTTTTCTTTGGCTTTAGGTGAGTAGCTTCATCGGGTGAGACCAGTCGAGGGTCTTGCATTTCCATGACTTAACTAATATATCTGATTTTCAACATTAGATATATAGCTTTGTTAACGGTTCAGAATAGTGAGAAAATATGGAATTTACTGACAAAATGCACCAGAAATAACTTATAAGTAGAAGAGTGCTGACACGAGCATAGCTCAAAACTGAGCGCCTGGTTTCTCAGAAACAGAATGGAAAACTGGTTCCCCCACAAATTGAACGTGTATGTTGTTTAATTGATAGAAAAGTTTTCAAAATGATAGAAATAGATTACTAGGAGAGCTCAATTTTCTCCGACTGCTCCCTCACCAGAGCAACAAAAAATTGAGTTAAAAACAATTTTAGTAACCCAGGTTCCCCTGTTTCTCTACCAAAATTTTTAGCAAACCAAACAGAATTACACAATTGATTTACCAAAACATGCCTGATGCAAATTCAGTTGCAAGTATAAAATTGTAGAACTTATTTAATAAGTAACACGGTGGTGAGAAATAGTTTGGACAGGGATTTCCTACAAAGGCCTTTGACTTGTACTTTTTATCTACTCATCGTTCTGTAAACAAAGTTCAAAGCAAGTGTTGCACCCAATATCTCTAATTCCTAAACCCCAGACCTCTTCTCATTGAACCAGTTCTCAGGGCTGCCTTTAAAATAAGCCACAAGAATATAAATCCATCAACATCTTGAAGTCAGTAAGGAACTGTGTTTGGTTGCAATTTTTTTGAGAGGAAACGAGGGGAAGTGGTGAAATTGCAGAATACCCGATCAACTTTCCTACGTGAACTTTGTTCTGTTACCTGTTTTAAAACAACGAAGACAAGCGATGTGTCAATCAGTATCCTGAGATGTGAATTCAAGGCAAAATGGGAGCGATTTAAGTGAAAGTACCTGCAGTGTTAGAGATGAGTTTAATATCCACTTTCCAACTAGTATCATAAATACCCAACTTTACAAAAACATCTAAACAGCCCCACTACTCTTTCAAGTAACTACTACATGCTAACTGAGGTCATAGTACATGGCCTGGACCTAGCAGGGGAAAAATTGTCCCATAAATAAAGTAACTGTAGGGCTTATCATAGAAGTCGGGAACATGAGACGCTATAGCAAACCACAATACAAGTTCAATTGTCCCGGGTTCGCGTGGAACATGACCCAATTCCTAATGAGCGGTGTACCATGCTCCCGTACCTGCCCTGCGAACCGGAATGAACAGGGTTTCATGCAACACTGGGGCTTATTACTTCCCCGCTTCTCCCATAGAAGAGATAGTTGCCAAGTCGGTTTCAAACCCCCCAACAATCTTCATCTT